AAATATATACATTTTTATATACATATATAGGTGAATATATGGGTATTATGGAAAATATATACATTTTTATATACATATATAGGTGAATATATGGGTATTATGAAAAATGTGCACACGGGTAGGAAACAAATAACCTAATAGGTAATTAAGTTATTAATTTTTGTTATTAATAGATAATGCACTTTAAAGCATATCTGTAGAACTCAGGAAGCTGCTGCAGTATGATTTTCCCCTGGGCTATCCCTGTGAGAAAAACTTACCATTAAAAATAATATCAGTGAGGCACACGGAATTCCTGAACAGTTCTGCCCTTAGGCACACAGCCAACAGCCAACAGCTGAAAACCCACTCTTAAGTTGGGAGCAAGGCCCCCAGCCTCCAGGCCTGAGGCTGTATTGGTCTAAACTCCAAATCCCAGAACTCCAAATCCTCTCTGGGATGGGGTCAGGACCACTCCCACAGGGTATTTAAGTGAATTCCTAAAAGAGGACCACATGGTCACTTTTCCTTCCTCTTGGTGGTTGTGTTCAAGGCTTCACAGCTACCCCTCAGGGCCACCCGAGAGTGCAGGGATCCCACTAAACCTGGATATTTCTTAATTTGGCTTGCTTTGATTTGGCCTGATTGGGAATTTGCGTCGGCAGAGAGCTCGCATTAGGAAAAATTCCTAACACTCACTTTGTTCCTGAGTCCCTTTAGGGTTTACTGAGTATGTCTCAGAGGGAGGGAGATTTTCTTCCTTTCCCCAACCCAGAAGCCACTCTTGTTGGCTTTCTCCTGCTCCTTCACTTCGGAAACAAAATCTCCCAGACCCTGGAGTTACACCAAGCGTGTTCCCACCGTCGTGGGCCAAGTGCCATCAAACATAGATCTAGGGACTTAGCTGCTCTCCCAGTGTCCCTTCAATAAGCAGACAAAGAAAAAGAGAAATACAGGAAATGGGTTCTGACTGAACTCTGTATAATGGAACCCTCCCTTCACAACCCTCGACTCCCTCTTGCTGTGCAGTCGGCTAGCACCCCACTACAGGATAAAGGAAAAAGCCTCAGTTTAGACACAGGCCCCTCCCCCCTCCCCTCCTGTTGGAAAGAAGATAATAAATTCAAGAGACTGTGAGAACAGAGCAGGGTTTAAATCCACAATTCAGCAGAAAAGGACACCAACATAGACCAAAGGCCAGACCACCACCCAGTAGCAGCTTCTAAAATCCTCGGCTGTCCGCTATTCCCATGGGCAGGAGCAAACACCCTTCACAAACTGCAGAGACAGAGGAGGGCAGGAGACTGAACTGAGTTCTTAAAAGAAACACCACGCGGGACTCAAGTCTGTTTCCCAGCAACTTGCACGGCAGCTTAGAGCTGTGGGCATTTCCAGGTCCAGGGGAGCTACCCACTCATTCAGTCTTGGTGGGCATCAGACATGTACCTCTAGTTAGTTCCCAGGGAGCTAGCCCACTCTTACGACCGTGGTGGGCACCCGACATGCAGAAAGTGCATACACATTCAGGTAAAACACCCCCACACAGAAAAACAAATCTTTTTTTTTTTTCTTAAGAAAATGAACCATAACAACCTCTTAAACTACCCTGACTCAGACCCTCCCTGACCTCTCTCACGAGAAGCTTGGCTACTTGCAGACTAAATACCCAAGGCACTCTTGGTTCCCACCACAGCTGCAAGCTAGATTTTTAAAAGGTGGCTATTACCCAAAAAGCATCAAGGGACAGGGGCTGGATCCCTCCACTACATCCGCTTCCTGAACAGCTCTGCTGGAAGACCCATCTGTCCCTGGCGCTTTGATGTGTGGGGTCTACAGGGGTTCTGCTTCCCCCATTCTACAATCCATCCCCTCCTTCATAGCCTGTGTCTAGAAGACATTTGCATCGGAAGTATTTGGATGGCAACCTACTTCCTCTGCCACCTAGGGCTCTGCATTTTTAGCAAGCTCCTTGAGAAATTCCCAGGCACAGAAGTCTGAGAGTTAGTGGGGTTTAATTCTGTGGGGATTAAGAAAGTTGGGGATCAGGTTAAGAAATATCGGACATTGCATGTTGCTTTGTATTTCCGGGTTCTCCAGATCAAAAAACCGCTTTCCTAAAAGCAGAAACCTAGTCAGATAGAGAGGCTAAGTTTCTGAGATGGCAGTACAGGCATATGGAGCCAACGGAGTGGGATATTTACTTTTTGCAGAGAATTATGACTGTTCGTTTGCTCCTAATGGACAAGACAACACAACAAGGAGTTTAGAAGTTCATGGGTGGATGGCACACAGAAGCACGACCAGTGACTAAATAACTAGTTCTCCCTGTTTGCTTGTTTTAAAGTGCTAGGGATGGAAGCCAGGGCCTTAGACATCAGCAGGAAGGTCCGGGAGACAGCTCAGCCGACAGGTGCTACTCGCTGTACAAGAACAAGGGCTTCCTATTGCTTCCTGAAGAGGATAATGAGGCATGTGTGTCTTAGGACCCACGCGAGTCTTACATGTGAGAGACTCAGGAAAGCACAGCGTGCTGACGAGGAAAGATTGTGACGGATTGTACGCCAAGCTAAATGGAGGAAGCTAGAGCGGGAAAACGTGTTTGGCAAGGAAAGAGAGGGTCCTCGAGCAATGGTTCAGATGTATGGTAGTTAGCTGCCAGTATAGTTCTGGGTTGAGGGGGGCAGGGTAGAGACAGAGACAGACAAACTCGTGAGAACCAATCAGGGCTATCACATCAGATATCCAGAATGCACGGTGACTATGTTAACAGCCTCATCGTAGTATAAAAGCAACTGCTGGAAGAGTGTTGCAATGAAAGCAGCCCTCGGATGCTTGTGTGGCCAGAAGAGAGTAGAGCGTGTATGGGTGGGGAAGCCAGAAAAGCCAAGCCAGTAGGGCAGACCAAGTCACCAATAACCATAACCAAGGATGGATGCAGAAATCAGACAGGGTCACCCTGCAAAGACAAAGGAATTCTCCAGACCCAGTCAATCACTGTCTCTTTTATTTCTGCTGCAATAACAGAATGTCACGGACTGGACGAGTTACAAAGTTTCCTATGGCTTAGAGTCTGCAGCTGGAATGTCCAGGAGCGTGGAGCCAGCACTTAGTGAGGCCCTCGGTGCTGAGTCACACACAGCATGCCCC